GTTATGAGAACTATAGCTCTGACAAAAATATGGAATCGAAATAAAGTATATTACAGGAGATATTCAGTTGTTTTAATCATAAAATGGATTTCTATTTGACAACTAGTGCCAGTACTTTTCCGCGTATCAAGATCACCTGGAAATATACACACTCTTTTTTAGGTATAATCTAGAGGTGAGCCGATCATCGGCAAAACATCGGCAAAACCGATTAATCGGCTTGTTTTTTCACAATCGGCCGACGATGGCCGATTGTCATTGGCCATCGGCCGATTGTCTTCCACCAATTGTATGGTCAGCGGTGTAATAAAAAAATGAAATTCAAATATTTGGTGTGGAAACAATTATCGAAACGAAAGTGGAAACACTATGTTTACCGATTTTCCGCGTTTTTTCATAGTTGTTTTCTCACTTTTCTGGCATTTCTGCAAGATTTATTAATTAAGTTATCGTGTTCCGTAACTTCCGTTGACCAGTCAGTAGCACGCTGTGGATTTCAGAATCAGTGCTAAAAATGTCGCTTCCTGTTTTTGCATGTTTTGACGAGGATGCATTAGTAAAAAAAATTAAGATGACCATCGGTTTTACCGATTAATCGGCCGATGGTGGGTAAATATCGGCTGTTAACAATCGGTATCGGTAATCGGCTTTTTTTAGACATCGGCTCACCTCTAGACTCTTTTTTAGGTATAATCTTCAACGGTATGGACATGAAGGTAGTGCCAATAATAAGAACGCTTCGGATTGATAGGGATGCAACTAGTACCTGAAAAACACAAAGAGTTCTCCTTGTATTTTTCATAGTTCTCCTATTGGAGTAGTGCTTGTATTTTTCGAAGTTCTCCTTGTATTTTCAGGTAGTTGCATCCCTATCAATCCGAAGCTTTCTGTTTTAGGGTAATTTTCTTGATCATAATTTTTACGGCCAGGAAATATGAGCACATGCATGCATGCATGCATGTTCACTGTCAACATTCAAAAACTTAATTAAGTTCGACTGAAAGTACTATAATTCACTTACCCTTTCGAGGTCTTGTCTTAGTCGCACCACTCGTTCAATCTCCATAGTTGCTTTCTGGAATGGCTTGATCTACATTTGCAAAAAATATAGATATAGTATGAATACAATACAATAGTAACCGGAAAACGCTAAACATTTTGAACAGTGTTTATTTGACGTTTCGACTAGATTTTAGTCATCATCAGAAATAATGAAATTATTACATATCATAAGTATATACAGTGAATAAATATGAGAAATATACTATATAAGGTTATTGGTTAAATATTATAGTTCTTTAGAAGCTTTAGTTCCGTGATTGAGGTTAGGTTTCAGTCTGCGTATCGCAAGCGATTCTTTGAATAGTAATAAAGACCAATGGTCGGCTCTATCGATTATTTTACAGTTATTAGAAAGAAAATCAGATAATATAATGTTATATTAGAGTTCTTGGTGCGGTGTTAGTTCCATTGTAGTTTTAATATGATTAAATTGTTCACATGATGAGATGTGGTCATAAACTTCCGAACTGTCGTTCGTCGAGTGTTCGTATATCCTACTGTAAACAGCGCGGTCAGTCTTTCCGATATAACTTGCTTTGTATACTCTGGACATGTAAACTCGTTAGACGACATATTTTGTTGGTGCATGGGATGTTTTAAAGAGACGAAGAGTCAATAGTTTTCCAGTTGATATAATGAATATACGTGAAGATTTTAGAATGACCAGGTTAGTTTAGTTCCATATTTGCTAAGGAATGGGAGTTTTATGCAGATTTTAATTGTTTTGGAAGGTGCTTTATTAGAGATATCACACGTAATTTGATCAGGTGAAGATGATATTGTTGAAGGCAAGAACAAAGTGACGAGTTTCCTGGTAATTTTACGGGAGAATCCATTCCATGACATACATTTCTGAACTTGTTGGAGCTCGTGTTTAAGGAAGTCCTGAATTTGTTGGAGTTCATGTTTAAGGATTCCCCCACAACGTAACTCATCTACTATAATCCCCATGTATTTTAATTATCAACTGGAAAATTATTGACTCATTCGTCTCTTTAAAAGATCCCACACCAACAAAATACCGAAGTTCTGTCGTCTGCAAAGCAAGACATCGGAAAGACTGACCGCGCTGTTCAAACTGTAATTATATCTATTACGGTTTTCGGAATTACTATTGTATTGTATTTAATTAAAATACTCAGTGGTTCCCGCAATTTATAGATATAGCATATAGTGTGTCTTTTGTTTGGTGTATGATATAAAGTAATCGGTTTTAATGGGTGTCGTATAGTTTTGTAATGACTCGACGATCTTAAGGTTCGTGCGAGGTTAGAAATTACGGGCTTTCTCCACCGCGGACACGATCCCTGCCGGCCTCGAACGACATGCAGTGCCACCGTTATAGAAACGTAGATATCTTGGAGTCGGCAATGAAAGTAGGGAGTTTAAGATGCCGACAACGAACAACGGGTACGGTTGAAAGCTTGTTTTCGCATTGCTTTAACAGAGGCAGACAAAATTTAAATATCCCCAGAGCATACTTTCACCGTAGCGACCTTGGTTACAGCGCAAAAATCACATTCTTGTGTTGTAAAACAGAATCGAGAACATAGCACCGAAACTGACTACGCAACGTTGCAGGTTGGAAAGTAGTTTTATAAAGAAATGATGAAAATTAAAAGATGAAACTTACCGAACACAAAGCCATGCACATAAAACATATTTGGGATAAATTTTTTATGACAAGCATTTAGTATTTGCATACATATAACAAAAACTATTTCAAACGTAGTCGGTAGTTCGTCGTCAAGATCTTAGACTCCCTAGCGGTAACGACTGCCAAACCGAGCCAGAATCCCGTCCAGAAGATAAATTTTCTCATTCAACATGATGTGGCTTTATGTTATTTTTTGTTTATGTATAAGGGAAAAATTATTAGATTCAAATTTAGAGATCTAAAATTCGTAAGAATATGATACCACACATGTGCCGCATGAAACTAAAGGTGCGACTAAAAAATAAATGTTACCTGAAATAAATGTTACCTAAAAATAAATGTTACCTGTCGGCCACTTAAACGTTCTTGCTGTTCAGCTGTTGGGGGAAGTAAGGCAGCATCTTCACGAGCCTAAAAATAGCAAGGAAGAATCTGTGTGCTTACTATATATCTGCGTGTCGTGGCTAGTCGGGCAAGTATACAGTTAAACGTTCGTAACGTTTACATCATGGACAAGCTCAAGTATTAGAGGTATATATACTAAAACTGTCTGTACCAGTGTAGGTATAGTACCAATGTAAAAATGCTGTGCTGAGTGGTTATATTACTACCTTAAAATAAGCACTTAGTCACTCAGCACAGCAAGTATTAGAGGGGTTAAGATATGTCGGTTGCCCTCTATGGGTATGGGTAGTGTCATTCTGTTGCATAATTTGCACTGATGTCCACATAGTTGATCCGGGTGTCATGCCCCCCCCCCCCCCCCTGCTTGACCATACAATTTCTGATTTTCGAATTAGCGTGTGTCGATTTCTTGAAACTATTTCATTGATTTGTGAGCTACGAGAAAATACTCAGAGTGCTTTAGTTAATATCAATCTTTCAATATGTAAACAAGTTGAGGTTCTTATACAGCCATATTTTCAAATATACTGTACTGTTCAGTCACGCATACGAGATAAAAAGCCGATATACAGTATACAGTACTTTATAAACAAAAGATAATGTAAAACGGTAAGCATGCGGATTCGGCCATCTCTAATGATAATTGTTGGGATAGTAGCGTTGCAGACGAGAGTGGGCAGTAGGGTTCCCCCATGCACCACCCCATGGAAAACCTGCACCCCTCCTTGCAGATGAGGCTAGACCCTTTTGTTGATCATATTTTTTTGTTTTCTACCGATGAAAGGTTACCATGTGTTGTAAATAAATGTAAATAATATCAATAATAGGTAATAATAACAGCGATGTTAAGGTCGTGAATTAAAAGGAATTGTACCTCTAAAGAAGATACTTCTTCTCGCTAAATGAAATTCGTTAAACGCACAAGTCAAAAGAGACTTCAACTCCTCAAGTATGGATGTACAATACCTTTCTTTTCAACGTCCAAAATCGATGAAATGTTGTCGCTAATTCTGTAGTAATGTTCAGTTCATTGGCGAGATCTTCCACATCTGCATATTTGTAGAAATCTTCTTCCATTCCACGCAGCCTATGGATATGATACAAAAGTCAAAAGAGTTGGGATGTGCCGGATACTGCTTTGCCGGATACAGGGTGCGATAATTCGCGTATTTACGTACCGGATGTACGCCAATATTACGGCCTGGTACTTCTTTGTTTTCAGCCAAGTGTACCACGTAGGTGGAACTCTTGCTATCTGAGTACTTATTTTTTGCTGGTACCACATGACCTTTCCAAACCCAAGGTATTCAATACTGTAATTTAGTTGGTATATCATGTGTCTGAGATGTCTTGTCATGAAACATGATTGGACTGATGGCGCTAAGAAACGTTGGAGTCGATTGTTTGTATATGTATTCATTTGTGCTTCTTTTTCTACCTCGTAGTCTGAACATACCTCGTAGTCATGAACTTTATAACCTTATTTTAAAGACTAAGTACAACACATTTAGTACTGAGTTTGTACTAGCGCAAGTACGTGGCAACAACCATTGGCGAACCAGTCAGGCACGACTAAAATAATCTTGAATTATCGCACCCTGGGATACCGGATGCTACCTGATAGTAGTCTACCGGATAATGACCGGACACTGATGGTGGTACGTGGACATTAAATAGTCAATTGTCTGTTTAGAATATGGCACAAGGATCGTCAGACTATATAAAGCAGAGAGCGGTTCACATGATGAATAATTTAATAGCTACTATGTAATTCGATCACCAACTATAACAATTCAATAAGCTTTACCTATTTTGGCGAAGATCCTCCCGGTCTTCCTGTTCTTTCGCTCTGAAAGTTGATGAGGATTTTGATGGTGTTGTACGTGGGGACGGATTCTGGGGAGATTTGAATGGCGACTGGAGAGAGGAAGATGATTTGCGAGGAGATCTGCCACTTCGTTTTTCAGTATGTTTGGAACAATAACACTATAGAGAAATAGAAGAGGATATTTACATTAACATGTCACGCATTGAGGAATACTGACCCATAAGGAAATGTGATGCATTGAGCAAAACAAAAATTTTCTTTGCGCGAATTTTTTAGGCGATCTGCCAATGTTCCACCGTCCACCTCAAAGAAAGGTATGTGGTTATGACGTTGTGGTCTTCGGGGGCAGCCTGCATGAGAGAAAGTTTAATATACAAGTAGCCTATACTGTATCCTGCCCAGCATCACGGATGTCGCTAAGTTCAAAACGTTGGTCAAAATGGAAAATATTTGGTCAAAATAGTTGGTCACTTGTTGGTTTTCAATTCGGTTCACATTGACAAGTACTCAAAAGCGCAAAGAAAAATAAGTATTTTGACTCGTGCGAACTTTTTACCTTGTAAAAAACCGCCTCACAAGCATTCAGATTTTCCATCACGAATTCGATGGAGTCAAAATGTTCGCCATAACTTGTCAAAATATCAGGACACCGCCCCACAATATTAATGACTTCGCGACGTGCCCTGTCTAGCAGACAAACTTACCACATGTCGAACCCCATCAGGAGCAGAATCATCCCACACGGTCTGCATATGTAAACCGTTATCAAAACCACATGTGACATGGAACGCTGTAACGCACGATTTCACCTAAAGCCAAATACGAAATTGAAACAAAAGTAATGCAAGTTCTTCCGTCGATTTTGTTTAATTTTTTGTTTTCAGGTTTGGTTTGAGGCTTGGGGTTGGGTTTGAGTGTTCTCGGTACACACTTGGCTTTGCTAGTGCATTATATGCGTTGGTGTTCTCTCCGTGTAGCCGCGAGATCTCCAGACCTTAAGGGGCCTGGGTAAGACTGGTGTGAATAGGATACTATTTACAGCGGTCTTACACAGGCTACAAAAGGTCGGATCACCATGAATACATTAGTCAGTTCGATCAGAGAGCGTATGTGGGAAGTTCTAGCTGCACGTACTTCATGCCTTGTCTTATTCCACCGCTTGCCTATGCTCCGCCTATCGGACATTACCTACTGGGTTTTCACCCGCCCTTATTCCCACCCGTAACATTTTCACTTGGTTTCTCTTTGTCCTAAAGTAGCCGCGAGATCTCCAGACCTTAAGGAGCCTGGGTAAGACTGGTGTGAATAGGATACTATATATGTTATCTAAATTAGTTTTATTTTATATAGC